TGAAGTCATAAGAGACTTAAGACATACAGACATAAGTCTGAGGCTGAATTTAAACTCAGGTCCTCCTGAATCCAGGGCTGGTGTTCTATCCACTGCGCCACCTAGCTAGCTGCCCCTTATTATTATTATCATTATTATTATTATTATTACATTGTTGTTGCGAATTGTTGAGGTGTAATAGAAATCATTGTTAATAACTAATGATTCAGGGAGATTCAGAGTTCCCCCTTTCTTTATTATTCAGAGACCTCGGTCTCTAACAGTCAAGTTAAACTCCAACCCAACCCTACAGGGAATCTCTGGTTTTGGGTGAATTCCAGTCAATCAAGCTTGGGTCTAGACAGATCCTTTTGTCTAGATGGTCCCAGGCTAGGATGGTCCGAGTATAGAGACATGTCCAAAGGTGATAGGATGTCACGCTCAGTCTCTCATTGTAATATAGCTCACCTCCTATTGTGTCAACCATTGCCACTCCTCTTCCAAAAGAGCATATAAGCTGTAAGTCCACCATGATTGCCTTTGGTCTGAGAGAGATGGCCAAATGATCATCCTTTTATTAATAATGTGCTGGCCTTATTAATAAAAATGATTAAATTACCCAGAAACTATGTCTCTTGGAATTATTTTAATTGCCACAGGTGGCATGGAAGAAAAAGAGGATTTTAAACCAGAGAACTGGAAAATCTTACCATGCTATTTCCTTGCTATATGACCTTGGCCGGGTCACTTAATCTCTGAGCCTCATTTTCCCCGTCTGTAACATGGGGATATAATAATACATACACAACTGGCCTTACAGGAGTGTTTTGAACAGAGCACTTCATTGAATTTTAATTTAAAGGGCTATAGAAATGTGAGCTGTTACTATTCACTCAACAAATGTTTCCTGAGCATTTTTTGTTGGTAAGACATCTTGTTTGGCACGCTGTCCATTGTTAAACAGGGCATAGTCATGGCCTTCAAGGAGCTTCTAACTAGACTACTTGGGGAGAAACAGCATAAATGCATGAAAAGTTCAGTACCCTAGGGTGCTACCAGACATTGGTAATAATGATTATTTATTAGTAAAATGAAGTAAAAGAATAATTACTTACAGTAAGATATTTGCTAAATGACTTGTGTAACCTATGAACACTAGACAAAGTTCAGAGGGGGAGACACCTATGGACTAGAGAATGAACAGAAGGCTTCACAGAGGAGGAGAGATTTGAGCTGTGCCTTGAAAGACCCCATCATTGGTTTTCTCAGTGGACTGATGGCCTATAGCCTCCCTCTTCTGTGAACTATCAGCTAGTCTGTCAGTAAGCAGTTCTTAGGTGCCTGCTGCCTACCAGCACCGAGCTAAGCACAGGCAGAAGACAGGCTCTGCTTTCAAGGAAATAGAGGAGTTTGTATCCAGACCCATGTCTCCTGAGTCTAGTACTTTCTCTTTTCCAGCCCCCTTTTTTCTTCCCTTTTCTAACTACTCTGCTGCCAGGGTATTGTGTGCTTAGGTCTATACTTGAGGATGCTTTGAGTTATTACTATTTTTTGGAGGATATATTCCTTTCTTTTTTGATTACAAGAATATAAGTATCTTGTGGATAAGGACTGAGTCTTTTCAGGCCCTCCAGTCATAGCTCTGCCATTTATAAATTGTGTTTCTCTGGACGAGTCACTTGGTTACTTCTCAGAGCCCCAATTTCCTCATTTGTTAAAGGGCAATAATACCACCTGTCCCCTTACCTCTGAGGGTTGTGATGAGGCTATAGAGCAATAATAATAATACTAATAACAGTAACAATAATAATAGCTAGCATTTATATAGTATTTTGAGCTTTGCAAAGAACTTTTCGTATATCAGTTATCTCATTAGATCCTCACAACCCTAGAAGTAGGTACTATTATTATCCCCATTTTAAAGATAAGGAAACTGAGGGTGAAAGAGGTTGCCCTCAGTTACACGGCTTCAAAATATCCAAGACAAGATTTGAACTCAGGTCTTCCTGACTCCAAATCCAGTACTCTAACCACCTGGCTAAACTGTAAAACGCAGTATACATAGAATACATGTTCACATTTCTGTGGTACTTTAAGGTTTTTGAAGTATTTTCTGGACCACTTTGTGAGGCAAGTAGTAGGCTGTTGTTTTCTTCATTTTACAGAAATAGAAAATAAGTCTCAGTGGTAATAAATTGCTCAGGGTCACGGAGCTAGTAAGTCATGGAGATGTGACTTGAATTCAGTCTAGTCAGTCAACAAGCATTTATTAAGCACTTAATATGTGTCTCAGGCACTGTCAAAATGAGAAACAGTAGAAACTATAGAATACGTGGATTGGAATCCTGGCTGTCCCTTGCTCTCTGTGTCACCCTGGACAATCTGTCTGGGTCTTAATGTTCTCATCTGTAAAATGGAATTGGCCTAGAACAGGGATTCTCAATCTGGAGTCCATGGAGAGATTTCAGGGAGACTGTGAATGAACTCAGATGAGGGGGGAAAATTACATCTCTCTCTCTCTCTCTCTCTCTCTCTCTCTCTCTCTCTCTCTCTCT